GCACTGTAAAAAAAAACGAAATTTACACGTTTAATTCCATGTTACTTGCTGTGGTTATTTGTGTAATTTCCGAGTGAAAACTGTTCCAATTTGTTTGTTAGTGTGTTTGCTACTCCACATTTTAACATTAAGTAGCTAAGGAGAACTAGCAGTCTGGCTCTGAATGTCAAGCGTTGTTTGTTCTCGCAATCTGCTTCGCAATCACCAGGGCCAACTGAGCGCTCAGTGCTAGGTGTGACAGGAAAGCAACACTGTTAGTAAACTATCCCATGTTAACAGGAAAAGCAAGTTTTTTTGGAAGGTCATGCTAGAACACCAACATCATGTATTGTGGTGCATAAGGGAATTTAAAAGCGTCTGATGAAGGTGGAAGATATATAGCCCCAACTTTGTAGGATTAAAGAGGCCTTCAAATTCAAATTGTGTTGACAAATAACCACATTCTCTTCGGCACTGGAGCATCTCCATCCAAGACACATCACTAAACATCTGTGCCTGTTTGTGTGGGCCTTTTAAGATCAAATGAGACAGTCATCTCTGAACCGAAATAAGAGCGCCAGAATCTGGATTCTAGATACGCCTTATAACATGACATGCAAAGCCAAAATCAAATCCATCTATCCATCCATGACATTACACATTTAAGCAGATATTAGCTGAACACTCTTTAAAATAGACAGGGAATACCATTTTAATTCATCATGTGCTGTGTTTTTAAACAAAACAGGATATTCGAGGAGAAGAAAAATGTAGGGCGGAACTTGGATAGTGATAAATAGATGACTGGATCGTGATAAGTAGATGTTACTTACTGAATGAAACCAAACCAAATGTTTGCTGAAATAATGATACACAGCTGTTTGGCTACTGGTTAACATTATGCCTCTCTAGTCATTTCAGAAGGAGTTATAAAAACAAAACTTTTTTTTGGGCAGCAATGAATCATTTGAAATAAACATAAAAATGTGCAATAAGATTGTTGCAATGTTTTACACTAGCCTTAATGATAACAAAACATTGTTGGAACCACAATTTTTTTTCAGATTTTTCCAGCTGATGAACAATAAAAACATTGACAAATCAGAATCCACCTGATTTTAAAGTAACAGACACAGCTTAATAATAACTAGCTTAATAACACCAACACTTTATCATGTGTTGGTGTGGACGGACGCTAATGTAGAGATATTGTAATGTTATTTTTCATGGTGTGAACAGATCTTTATTCAGTTCAACTGACTTAAGAAAAATAATTTAAAAGTAACTCAACATACTCAGCCAGAATACTGTTTATGGCAACATAAAATACAATTATATATAGCCAGTAGCAAACATAATTAAAAAAAAAAAAAAAAAAACTCTTGGGTTGCGTTGTACTGCACAGCATTTTCACCCGTTGTCCCGCACGTCGCATATTGAGGAAATGTCACACATTTTCATCAGTCTATTGGTTTTTAATTTTCATATTAAAGTCCTCGTGAACCGGAAGTTGCAAACGATTTTTCTCCAGTGCTGTGACGTATTTCCAAGTGAAACGGAATATTGAACAGAGGGCAGGGTTTTACTCTGGCGCTCCTCCTCTCCATCTCTCGCTCATAGCAAACTAACGGTTTGAGGGGTGTGGTTAAGCGTTTCCCCACCCAAACTGTGAAACCTACGTCATCAGAAAAAGAAACCGTTCCAGACCGGAAGTAACTTTTCAGATTTTGATTAAAGATTACTAAGGTAAAACATTTTTTTAATATATATTCACTTGCACGGATTAATTGTTCACCACAAGACTAGTAATATGCGCTAACAAAGTAAATAGGTTCAATTTTGATTTCACGGGGACTTTAAGAAAACGCGCATGCATTCTTTTGCCTTTTTAAGAAAGCATTTTATTTATTATTTTTGCAGCGTAGTTTTTCACCTAACAGTGCTTCGTCATAAGTACAAATACAACAGTGTTTTTTATCCTATCCAATGGTTAAAAAGAAAGGAGTAAACACGGTCACTAGTAGGTTGTGACGGCTGTCAATCAAAATGTGAACAACCGGTGATTCATTCCATATGTTCCCGGTCGGAAAACAAATGGATAATTCGGTAAATTAACATTTTAATTTAACGGAATTTATCTGTTATTGTTCAACCTGTTGTGGCTGTTTTAATTCACATCCTTTCTAAAAACGTTATTTATTTATTTATATATATTCTTAATATATAAGACTGCCTATCTAATTTCATGTTGTTTTCTATTTATTTATTCATTGTTTATTTTGTTGGATTTTAGTTGGACTTGTTCAGAACTGTTTCTAATAGTTATATGCATGATGCCTGCTGCCTTTGGGCTCAGTGATGTTGAATTTAAATAACATGTAAAAAAAAAAATTTCTGGAAGGGACTAAAGAACAAAGAATTTTTATTAGCTGAAAGGCAGAATATAAATGTTTTTATCAAGTTAGATAGACATAACAGTTTCAGGGTATGTTTTAGTGTTGGTAACATGTCCCACACAAACTTATAATTGTCCCACATTTGGTCTGTTTGATGGTGGTCACCCTACCTCAAATGCCACCCAGAATTTATTGTGTTTGTATCTACTGAGAAATGAATTGCTTGTAATTATGCACTTGTATTTTTTATTGCTATTATAATTACATTTAACCTATTGTAAATGAAAATGACACCTCAAATCTGACTCGAATTCAAAATGAACAATGTTTAACAATTACAGAATAATAGAAAGCAGAAATGAAAGCTGCTCGTTTTATCTCCAGCCTGTTTGCGATTTGGAAATATTAGGCAACTAATCTATATTCATGTTGGGTGACACTGACAAATTGAAAGTGACAGTTATGCCTGACAGCTGCAGGTTCCCTACAGTCTCTCACTTCCCCTCAACTAACCGTAGTGGTTATTTTGAAGTGACAGAATATGACTAAATTCTGCTATACTAATTTAGTTTGCAGTCTGAACAAATTAGGACCTGTGAGATGTTCAGTGGATTTCAAGACTATGTTTGATGTCTTTCTTTGATCTAGTCAGTGTGCGAGCATGCATACCTGTCTAACATGGCAGTAATTTTAATTAATGTAATTCTCCTCTCTGGGTGAGTGTGCTTGTTTTAGTCATAAAAGGTGCTGTTACCTTTAAAAGGTCAGACTGACTTTGTCAAGTCATGTTCAGATTTTCTATGACGATGCCTCTGATGGCCAGGCCTTAACTTCAAAAGATTCAAACTCGAGAGAAACCAGAGCACAAGTCACTGTCAAAAGGAGTTACATCACAAGACACTGTATTAGGAAAACACCATGATATATTTGCACCATGTGGACAACTTGAAGCATGCGACTGGACTGGGGTTGACAAAATTAGCTCTGTTGCAGTGCATGTATGGTGCTGTGGCAAGCCATTTAACATTTATTCATTAAAAATTAACTAGTATTTTTACTAGTTTTTTGTGTTATGTTATTATTAGTACTTATTTTAAAATCATTGGTAAGTAATCAAATAGTTACTGGTATATTTTTCAATTTCACTAATAATAGATCCTTCAACTGTGACTAATTCAAATATTAATAGGGCTTTTTGCTACAAGTCGTCATCTTGTGTAAATAGCAACTACTAGATTATATTTACAGTACACTATGTAAAAATATATAGCAGTATTTTCTTTGCAATAAGTGTAAATAGTAGTTACTAGTTAGATTATATTTATACTTATAAATAGTGGCAGATACTATTCACTCCTCAGTGTTGTTGTACATTTAACATATGCTATAATAACAGAGTGTAAATTCTTAGATTTATTTAAATGATTATTGGGTCAATAAAGCCCTCCCTACACCTAACCCTAACAAATAAACACTTATTTAGACACTTTAGTACAACTTTTCGAATATTTTCTTCATTATTGAAAATAAATGCCTTTTCCGATCTGATAGTGATAGTAGTTTGGAAAACAAAACAGTTTGGAAAAATGTGGCCGGATACGAACACGGGGCGATTTGCTAAAAGATTTCTGCCACTCGCCTTACCTCTACACTTGCTGTTGATGTCTTCCGAAATTTAGTCAGGCCAACCAGATTTCAGTGGCCAGAGTTACTGTAAATAGCCTCTGCAACAAGGTGGGCAATTTGCACTTAGTTTAAAAGGACACTCCATTTTGTTACCAGTGCCAATTGAATTAGCCAATCACTCTTAGGATAATTTATTAAGTAAAGACATAATATATGTGGAAGTATGTAATAATTATTTACAAGTGACTGATTTAAGAAATAGTAATCACTACGCCTACTTGTATCCAATGAATATTCAAATTATTGGATTACTTACTAGTAATTAAATAAGGTACTTGAAAAAGCTATAGATGCTGCCTTCAAGTGCACAAAGAATTATATTGTGAACAGTAAAGCCAAATAACTACACCTCAGTTCAAAATGAATTTAATGTCTATCATAGTATCACAATGTTTTTTTGTACATGAAACCTGAAGGTTGGGTGATTAACTTTACACCATTCACTAAAGACTTGCTTTCTGCTCAGTGATCCATAAGATTCATATCATCCATACTCAATATTATTTATATTGTAAATCAATATTTCTGCCATGTTTCAACTCAGCAGCTCGTGTATCGTGTAGAATTCAGAGTTTTCAAATTAAATACAACTTCACTTTGTGGTCCTGTCTGTGATCGAAACTACGATATTTCGACTCCACTAGAAGGGCACATAAATGCTATGCCGGCTTGCCACAGTGGTGGTGGGTTCTGAGTCGATCACACGCACCCGCGCAGGAACGCGCACTTTAGAACACGGTTTCAAAGCAGGTGCCAGCAGCAACAATGTAACAACGTTACAACGTAAAAGCAAACGTTCTAAACGCTTTCCAGGTTTGACAGCGTCTATACGGCATGTGGCTGCCATAATCCAGTGTCGATGCTGGGTGTGATCGTGGTTGTTGAATAGGCTACGAACACACACAACAATATGAGCAAATCATAATTCCACCTACTTACCCGAAATCCTGATCCATAGATTTGAAAAAGAATTTATAACTGTTGACTGGACGGTTATTAAGGACATTTTTAAAATCCGCCAACGTGACTTTTTCCGGAGAAACCGTCAGTTTCACTAAATAAGGGGTTTCTTCTTCGTCGATATGGTATATAATTTTGGTCTCCGCCATGAGTAGGCTTATATGGGTAGGACAATCATTGACAGAAGAAGGAGCAAGGGTAGCAGCAGCGCGATACAAAATATATTTGTAGACTATAACTCCTCAAGTGTCATATATGCGTTATAAGGCGACATTGCCGGTTGCCGGTTTCACGTAGGCAAACAAAAATCCTGGTCTTGGACGGAGCGAGCGGTTCCAGACATTATCGAAGCTTGCGTGTCTCTATCACGGCGTCAATGTTTCTCTCTGATCGCCAGTAAAACAGGAAGGGACGGTTCACATCCCTATGAGCTGGAGTTCAGGATATTTTACCATTTCAGGTTTCTAGTGGATGTAGGCTGCTCTCTAGCGGCAGACAGTCACAGAGTCCGTAACAGACAAACCACTGAGCTGCTGTGGTTCTGCTAAACCGACAGCTGTTAAAACACTGACTGAACCCCAGTTTCACAGACAGGGTTTAAACTAGTCCCAGACTAAAATGCTTTTTTTTTTTAAACTGAAAGCAACTTGCACTGGCATTTTGTCTCAAGATGCACACTAGTAAAGATTTTTTTCTAAGGCACGTATGCCCTGATTGAATGGGCGACAGTATAATCCTGGCTTAATCTAAACCCTGTCTGTGGAACCAGGCCTGTATCATAGTTATAGTTATATGTTGTCTGTATGGACGGTACACTGACAAAACATAAAGACCTACAGTCGTCTTTGTTTGATTTAGATATCAGGCACCAAATAAATGTGTTTGTTTATTTATTTATTATTGAAAGCCAAGCAAATTACAAACAAGAATATTTGAGGGGTTTATAGAGAGAAAAAAAGCAACGAATATGTATGATATTTGATATTGATATATTAGTTGCATATTCAGCAGGTGCATAGTTTGCATTGTAAGTTTTTTCTTTTTCATATTGTTTCCAAAAATGTTTTAATGTAAATTGTTCAAACACTTCCATTCCATTTGACTATTAATCAACAAGCAATTAAATATATTCAATCAAATATAAATATTTGTATTTCCACCCGATGAGAAACACCTTATCATCACATCAGTTTCTATCAATCGTTTACCTTGGAACATTCCCAAAATTAAAGACTCATTTTCATTTTTATTTTATTGTATTACTAATTTAATACTGTAATTGAAAAGAACATGGAAAATAAAATTAATTAAAATAGCATAAATAAATCTACATGATCTTCTGGGAATGGTGATTAAGCCTCTTTTCGCTAACCATTTATTGGAAAAGGTAAAAAATGAAACTTTTGAACCCTGTATGAAAGTGCCAAAGCCACAACAACATCTAATATTACAATCAATATACAGTATATTTACATTTAATATGCCACATTAATAAATGGCAAAGCAGCAATTCTAAATAAAAGAAGTCTCCATATAATGCAGGAAAAAGGATGAACACAATATTATCAGTAACACTTTATAAAGTTCATTAGTTAACTACATTAGTTAACATGAACTAAGAATGAAAAATACATCTTCAGCATTTATTAATCTTAGTTAATATTAATTTCCACATTTACCAATTCGTTATTAAAATAAAAGGTTGTATTTGTTAACGTTAGTTAATCCACTGTGAACTAACATGGACAAACAATGAATAGCTGTATTTTTACTAACAAAGATTAACAAATATATTTCTCATTGTTAGTTCATGTTAGTTAATAGTTTAACTAATGTTAATAATGAACCTTATTGTAAAGTGTTACCATATTATCTAATATAATGGTCACTTTATTGCGTGTTTGCAGATGCCAACTCACAACATGTCCTTATAAAGAAAACATGCTCAGAAGACAGAAACGTGGAATGAAACTACACAAAAGTACAAAGATTTGTAGTTTTGTGAACATGAACTTATCTCCAGTTTCAGACATTTGAGTCGTTATATATTTTGAACAGCAGGGGGCAGCTCTGTCCTTCCTGTATTGCTGACGTTATTTGGTGATTGTTTAGGAAACGCATACTGTATAAAACATGGCAGGCCTGCTAAAAGTACAAACACCAGGCCCGAGTCTGAGTAAAATACAATGAAAGAATCCAGCCAAACTCAATACTCACATTCTACAACTCAGACTTTGCCCACTGCACACGACAATTACATTGAGTTTACTGTACGTATCAACCTATTGGGGTTTACTGGCTGTGTCAATCAAATCAAGATTTAATCAATCAAAACAGGGATATTCTTCCTCTTTGCTCAGTTTGTACATAAATATTTGCCTCCTGTAATGCACTTCTCAAAATGTACGCTAAATAATTGCAGTCAAATTGCTGAGTTCCACAATTATGGGTTAGAGCAAAGATTTTCATTACAAGTATATTCAAACACTGGATTTTTGGATAACATTATATAAATTTAAAACCTACAGTATATTAGTAATAGTATAAATAAATGCATATTTTTATTTAACATAAGTTACATAAGGCTGGTAAATCAAAAGTTTTTACTAAATACTGATATGATATCAGTTAAGTTATAGACCATTTCACAAGATGTAAACAACACTGGTCCAGAAGCACTTCCTGTTTCAGTTTTTTAACACTACATAAAAACAGGGATAAAATACAACCAACAGAACATTTAAAAATGAATCAGAAAGTTAAACAAACATCTTTAAGATGTTTTCTTTACATGTGAAATAAAGAAAACAGTTACAAACTGAAACAGGAAGTGCTTCTGGACCAGTGTTGTTTACATCTTGTGAAATGGTCTATAGTAACAGTGGATCTTAACATTTATCCATGGGCACTTTGACAAAAAGAAAAGGGAGATAATGTACCTATAGAAAGATTGAATCTTAATTACACAAAATATTTCAGAATAAACTTTATTATATTTGTACATTGGTCCTACAAACATGATCATGTACTGCCACTTTAAAGATAAATGTACACTCCAGATCATTTGAAAACTACTGCATAAATGCTTCATAACCTATGTAAATGAGAATTACTGACCAAGGAATTAGGAAAAATGGTGATGAAAAATACTCATTAACTGTAATAAACTGCAACTTTGCCCTCAACATAATGCAGTGAAACAAAGAATGAAAAAAGATAATGGACCAAAAAGTCCTGGTCAATAGGACTCAAAATTCCTCAGAAAAGTAACATAGATACACATCAGCATAGCACAAACAATACATTTAATTGCCTTTGAGGTTCACTTGTGCACCATCTTTGACTATTTAGACCTGAAGCCACAGCTATTTGTTTGCTTCCTGAGTTTTATAAGTAATTTCTATTTAAATTCAGACACTTACAGTGGTTTCTACCACACAAAATTTTAGAGTACCACCAAATGCTAAATTCAGCAAATTGCCTTAACTTTAATTCAACAGATTACCATTATGAAACCATTATGGTACACTGTGGTTATGATAAGAAAATGATTTCACGTAAATTGATTTACCAATATCAACTGAATTTGAGTATTATAAGATCATGTAAGCATTAATTATGATGTAGAAAGACAGTAATTCCATTCTTGTTCTCAATGTAACTGTAAAATCCTTGAATCTCTTTTCAATCAGTATACTCTGGACCAGCCTGCAGCTCAATCAGAATCACTTCCATGACATTCTCTCCATTTCTTTGGGTGAGAGAGAGGAAGAAAAATAAAGTTTATGTAAATACATCACAATTCATCAGTTCGGAATGAGATTTACTAATTGAGACCACATTACCTCTGTTGAGATCAATAACTTTTGGAGAGGGATAGTTGTTTGCCTCTGCCCTGCCTTTCATTATGTTGTTCTTGTAGTCTAAAGAAGAAAAAACAAGGATTTCGTCAATAAAAGCTGATGTAATGAAGATATTTAAATTAATACAGTATGTAAATGTCAGATGTGGGACACTCGGCTCTTAAAAAAGATATTTCACTGTAAAATCCCTTTTTAAAAAACAATAATCAACCAATTAAAAAAGTCTAATGTAGTCATTGTTCTTGAGAATATTGAAAAATATGTTTCTTGCAAAAACACCAGGTCACATTCCCCTAGATTTTACAGAGTAACCGTTATGGTGATTTTGCAAGTATTAGAAAAAAAAGCTAATTTCTAAATGTCTACAACAGCTTTAAAGAGATCATTCACCCAAAAAAGTTGATGGGCCCCATTGACTTCCATAGTATTTTTTCTACTATGGAAGTCAATGGGGCTCATCAACTGTTTGGTTATCCATATGCATCAAAATATCTTTTTATGTATTCAGCAGATTCATACAGATTTGAAACAACTTGAGAGTGAACAAATGATGACAGATCTTTTATTTTTGGGTAAACTATCCCTTTCAGTAAAACAGTTTGAAAAATTATGGAAAAAATGAGGTTGTGCTTACCCAGTCGCAAGTCTTCCTGATTGTAGGGTTGCAGTTCTGTGGCATCAAGCTCAATGGACGTCCTGCGACCACTTCTGAGTAAAAACAAACGTTATGCTTTTTATGTATTAGCAAGTGTAAAATGATTATTGTGGGTCTTACTTTACTCAAAAACACTGGAGTGGTTTAATAGTCTATTTTCGATTCTTACCGCTCAGACCTTCGATCCTCAAACTCAAGCCCTGAAACAGATATTACATCGAAGGTCAAAAGAAATTTCAATAAGATGAGATCCAAGCCTATAATCTCTAAGGTATTCATTTTATTCAGACAGTTTGCAGTTTGACTTAAAAGCCACATTGGTTTCTTTTTCTTGTTTATAAAATCATCCACATGATCCTACCTTTCTTTCTGCAGTGCCTCGTGGTTATAATGATGCCAATGAGCATTAAGAGAAGCAGCAGGAAGATTGCCAAGATGTAGCCCACTTGATGCAGGAGATGAGTTTGATTCTCAGGCAGGATTACATTGAGGACCTGAGTTGCTTCCACCATGTTTGTATCTGCTTACCAGGGACAAAATGGGAACACGAGAGGACCAGATGTATGAGAAGAACTCTTAAATATCTGAAATTAAAACACTTAATTATTTTATCCTGTACTAAGAGCCAAGAAACCAAGCAGAAAAGCCTAAATTACTTGTTTGTTTTTCCCTTTTCACCCAGGCGAGAAGTGAGAGGGACAAGGTTTCAATGGCCAAAACAGGCATAATGAGTTCCAGACCTGATGTCATGCAGCAGCAATGGAGAAAGAAAAACACAAACCGCAGAACAGAAAGCGAGATAAAGTGCAGGCGGAGAGAAGAACCACCACTTCATGGTCAGTCTGTCTGCAGACATTTTCCATTTATTTAGTGCCCCACAATAACAAGGATAATTT